TTTTTGATGCAATTCACTACTGAATCAAATATACTACTACTATTAATCTGATTTAGCTCTTCGAGCTACTTTATTCTACTAATAGAGCAGGACGATAACTGTACAAAAGCTGCGAGAACGAAACAAAATTGTCAAGGGTTTATATGAATAAAGTTGCTAGAATTCGGATTAGGGAAACAATCATTCGGCTGACGGTAGATAACGCAAGCAGATGTCCAAATAGCATTATGGGTAGTGATAAGGGCACTAAATATGATTAAGTGAAGAGCAGACATGAGTTCGCCGATGAATTTTACATTGACATGTATCTAAGACGAGTTTTCTCATCCAAACTCAAGTACAGTCCTCAACACTAGTCCAGTGGGTTTCAGCTCTCAACCCATAACCATGTTGGCGAGTTTGATCCTCCAACAACAGTCTCGGCTAGTCGGCAAGACTACCTTTATAGTGATGGTTAACCGATTGAAGACTCTTTCATATTCATATTCTTGGTATTCACATGTAAAGTGTTGTTACCTTAATATCATTCAGCTTGATTTCAATCACAGGAAGTGAGTTAGTGCATATAGGCAATAACGTTACCAAAGTTACTAATGAACTGACAAACGATAATGATTCATACCAAGCTTCCTGTCTTCTTTTGCAGCTGATATGTGCTTTTGTTGAGAAGTATTAGTTATCGTTCGAGCATGTAGCCCTATTTCCCCAACATGCTTCGGGCTGTAGCCTCAACCAGCCTCGTGAAGCAAAGAAAAAGCAGCAGAGCAGTTATTTTCTGTTGCTAAACGATACTTTTCCAAACTTAATTGATCCTTAGAGGTTGTTTGACCTTGTCTTCGCAACTTGGTGATATTGGTAGGAAGACTTAGAAGAACGCACCTAGTCCGGAGTCCATTGTCTGCATGCTCATTCCCAAAGTTGAACCGTGGACTTGCTACATTCCCAATCGTTTCGCCATCGTCAATAAGTATCGCCATTCTTAGCACCACACAATAACTCGTCAAAGAGACAAGTGAAGCCGATCCTAAACAATTGTGGTATCTCCCCTTCTGCCCTGGGTCATTCGCGTTTCCGGTAGCGAAATGGCGATACTCACTGACGATGCCGGCAAAACTTTTGGGAATGTACCACGTCCACGGTTTAACTTTGTGATCATGCAGACAATGGACTCCGGACTAGGTGCGTTCTTCTAAGTCTTCCTACCAATATGACCATGTTGAGAAAACAAGGTCAAACAACCTTTGTACAACGAAAGGAGACTGCGACCACACAAAAGGCCACACCAAGTGATATATCATTAAACGGGGAGACATTGGGGAAAAGAAGTGACATTGAGAGGTTCTAAGACGCGTTATTCCGAACCCCACTTGCCGTCCTATCAACTTAATATAGACTTCAAGTAAAACGAAAATGATCGCCAGAGGGTAATAAGATGTAAATTGTCTGGGAGAGGTGCCCTAGTACACAAGGATGAAGTCGAAGTTAACATGGACAACTAATCAGCATAATATGGTATGCAATTTTATAGGTAAAGAGGCCAATAAGGGAACTTTAGTAAGCTATTAAGCAATCCTAGGTCGCCTAAAATGATGTAGGATGATATTTGAATGTTACTGCATTAGAATGGATAGACTTAAACATATTATTGAAGTTTGCATAATGCAGCCTTCCAAAAAAGCTTTTTCAACCAAGCAAAACTGCAGTTTCGATCGGGCCTCGACATCATCAGCAGCTTGACGGGATTCGATGCCGGGTCGTGGGAGTAAACTGGCAACAGATTTTTCCTACACTACACAGCCACGAATACAATTGGTCAAAGGGCAGATGCAACTTTCAAGGAAAGTCGAGTCTCAGAATGATCACTAACAATGGGGTAGTGTAGTGGAGAGGGCAAATCTGCAGTTGCCATAACGTTCGACGACGTGGCTAGATGAGTAGTGAACAGGTCTTGAGTGAAAACTAGGTCGTAAGTTGAGTCAAGCATGGATGAGAAGGCCTTTCAGAAGGCAATCACACTTTGACAAACTTATTACATTATGGAAAAATTCACTCATTAATTTTGCGCCATCTTGTGCCAATAGAGCTGCCTACGATTTTCCTTCAATATCTACTGATAATCCTATAGCCTTCTCATAACATGTTTAGAGGCAGTTGGTGTTTTATGTTGCTAGAAGATGAAAAATATTAACAATTCGAGCTAATTTGACAGCTTGCCCCTGACAACAAGAACGAGAAGATCAGGTTTGGGGAATAGCAAAAGTGATTAGTTGTGAAGCCGGTTTAAAAAAAGGTATGATATGCTGGAACGACTTTCAACTCACCCGAGTTAAACTGGACTTCAGACAGGAGGATCCAGGCGTCGTCGGAGATTAGGCGCAATCTGATAAATCTGGCGATAATATGTTGCAACGGGATTTGCACGATAAGCGCACCATCCCACCCTTTGTCCACCCATACAGTGCCATTGACGAGAACCCTTCGGTCACTATCTGACCAGCCGTCGGGACCCTCTTCAGGCGCCCGAAGTGGTGAATGTGATCGAAGCGGGCTCTCCGAGACCGGGAATCGACTTCTTGGAAACCGGCTGCCTCGGTCTCGGCCCTCTTTGTTCGTTCCACCGACCGCTTCATGTCTCAAAACAGGTTCATTTTCTCCCGCCTCTTTAGGCACCAGATTGTCGTGATAGACATCACCCTGGCGACCGAAGTGTTCGCTTTCTTCTGCCTCGAGAC